CTCAAATGGCTTTACTCTACTTGACTCCGTCCCAATGGCGTACACTATTGCTGAAAAGACAACTCCTCCAGGAAAAAGAAACAAAGCAAATAGCCCTGCGTGCGCCCTATCTCCCTGTTTCCCTGTCTGCAAACAGAGAACTCACCGAGTATCTCGCAGTCTTTTCCTGTGGTCCCTTGTGCGCAAACACATCGGTAGTCATGGATATCTTCATAATAAATACACTGACCACCATTACGACAAGGTTTCTCTTGACGGCATTTGTCCTGGACAAAAAAAATGATTTTAGAGATTTTATTATTTTGGAGAAACCTTAACTAAAGATTCAAAACCTTTCTTGTAATCATAGTTAATAGAGGGGACTGGTTATGAATCCCGGCAAACTTCAAAGGGCCGGTCTATTGTTTACGTTCTGAGGTTGAACCGTACCGTCACGTGACTCTAACCGTGCACACAAACCAAAATGGCTATGGACATGAATGACTTATATTTTTTCGGAGATGATTTTGATGCTATCTCTATTAACTATGTTGTAATCTAACTTACATTAATCCTGCGTGTTTGTGTGTTTCTAACAGAGAATGGAAGYACAACAATACCTTAGAATTCCTAAACACAAATTGTGTAAAACAGAAATGGTCCGTTCTAAACTGTTCTTAATTGAATTATTTGTCGTTGTTATCCTTTGAATGTTCTCGTGACTTTTAGATAAATCTTTAATGAAAGGCCGAAACATTTATCGAGATGCATTACCATATTAAGCAATTRTTTTGCTTTGACAAACAGGTATATAGCTATTTCAAAAAAGGTTGTCAGATAAAATGKCRAATGTCAATGGTCGAACGGCGATTGCACGACCGAACGTAGCCATGAGTTTTGCTAKTTGAAAGGCAATAACAACTGATTTGTACTGTAAGATGGTCTGTTGTCAACATTGGCTCCATTTATTCTCCATTTCTATGTAAAGTGAATCCAATAAGTGAAATTATGTTTATCAAAACAGTGTAACCATAGTCCATTTCGATCGTGCAATCTCCCTTCGACAATCGCCGTTCGCCGTTCGCCGTTCTCCCCGACAACGTTTTTTGAAATAGCTGTATTCGAAATTAGTGCTCAAAAATTGAATAAGTCAGAATATGATAAAAACTTTAAAGCAAATTACGGACAGCTTTAATTGATTCAATCGGTCATTACCTTTTATCTCCATTCACTTTAAATTGTCGCTGGTCTTTATTCGAAAGCGTAAACATTTATTTAATGGGAAAATCTATAAAATTTGCATCTTCAGAGCAAAAMGAAGAATGGWRGTTGCTTTGCGAATGCGTCACAAACCATGAATTGTAAAAGCTTCTGTGTCTTCTAYCATTTARACTGAATTTTGCATTMTACTCACCTTTTTACTATAATGAGAGTAYCCATGATCTTGCTTTAAGTCAGTCTCATTTGTGAACCGATCAGAAGAGAGAAGCTCGCAGACATGTAAACCGTTTTCAAGAGGTTTGATCTTCAAATTAACCGAGCGACACCAATCTGWACTGGTGCAAGAGAACACGCACTCCATGGCGTCCTCCACTTTCATTGACTTCTGTCCCATTCCTTGTGGCAGCTGTAAAATGTTACCGTGAAAAACATCGTATGTAGCTTCTCTTAACCGACCGGTAAAGCTTGAGGCATGCTGCACGTACAATACAGCAACGAATACTAAAATCCAAGATGAGAAAGACATTGGAATTCTTTCAAACTTAACTGACACTTGCTTAAGTTGAAATTATCTTTTGAATTAAGAAGAGTACTAAAGTATAATTAGTAAATAATTGATTATGTAAGAATATGAGAAAAAGTACTAAAAAAAGCAAAATAAAAACAACAACACAACAACAACAACAACAACAACAACAACAACAACAACAAACTTTAGCTTGCCCTAGGATCAGAGACTTACTCATTATAGAGCAAACGCAGGAAAACCATGATTAAAATAAAGTCAAACTAAATACTAACAAGTAGCGGCTATTTAAAGACAAATTGTCAGTATATCAATGAACCARAACGCAATAAAGATGAATGAAAAATGGTCCCATGTGGATTCATCTTCATTGTGTTCTGGTTCATTGATACTCACAAATTGTCTCTAAATAGCCGCTATTTGTTAGTCTTTAGTTTGATTTTATTTCATGTTTTTCCTGCGTTTGCTCTAACGGCATGTAAACTATTTTAAGTCCAAATTGAACTCCTGTGCTCACATATATTCTTGTCCGTTGCGAGTGTTTTATTATCTTTAAACGACATCAACAAGTATTTCTATTGTTTTAGGTAATTATAACTACTTTATTATATTTATCAAGGATCAAGCAAATCGGATAGTTCATCGGAATAAAACTCGATTAGATACTATTATGTTTATCGTGAAATTTATAACCCATGTCCTTTGATAAGTGGTTGTTATTGTACAGGTGCAAGTTTTCATATGAAAAAAGCGCGGTGGGTGATGTTATGTGCTGTGCTGGGGTGATGATCCGATAAGCTCCRGACAGCTTTATGCTGCATAAAGTTCTTTTTTTTGGAAGATACTTTGTCCTGTTCCTTGTAAACGTATATGCTGGTTGCATGGCCTTTTGGCTACTTTCTGCAAATAAAAAACGATTCTTCCTGACAATCTCTCATACTCCATTCTTCAGGGAAGTTTTCCACTAGTATCGCTGCACTGCAGTCTCTCGTCTCTGTGTTCAATTGTTTCATGTTCTTATAAGTCATGGGTGATTCGTCGGCCCACTGGAGTACCCCTTCGTTTGCTTTGTCATTGAGGCCAATCCAGGCTCTTCGCTCTCCATCTAAAATATGTTGTGATTAATAAACTCTTAAACACACACATCTGTTGGTATAGGTTATTGATTACTTAGTCTAAGACCTGTTTCAGGGCTGTGTCTTAACTTACGCGTCAATTCAACTCTCGAACTCAACAATTTTAGATCAATTTTTTATTACTAGTTCTAAAACACCTTTTTTGGCCTAGCTGTTGCACGTACCATTGCTCCTCGAAAAAAGGGTAGCTCTTCATACAACTTTCTTACCCGTATGAAAAAAAATCCTCTCACCTGAAAGAGCTTTCATTTCAGAATCTTGCAAAACGCGAGAAATCATTGATAAATCTTTCATCCAGCCTTTGAAGAAATCTTCATTCGTATAGCCGACTTTTCCAATCCAATAACTGGTGGTATCATATAAACACATGTTCCTGACTGAAGACCTACCGACATGGTTTTTGTCCAGTGTACCATTAAGGTAAATCTTTACCCTATGTGCATCAATATCAAAGGTAGCGCCGATGTGAGTCCACTGATTGATGGGGATTATCCTAAAAACAAAATATATTGCTTGTATTGATAACAGTCCTTGGTGGGTCAATAAAAGCATAGAACATAATGTTGCCGTGTTCGCTTAAAAGGATAACCATGCATAATCTTGTTATACAACTTGGCTAAGACCGACATGTTGGACTTTTCAGACAGTTTTGAGGAGCCTAATTARCGGATTTTGATAGTGTGAAGATACTCTAAGAGACTTCCCAACTCCATCTTGAAAAGTCCCTGTGCCGTTACAGCGAGCCCGAAGCAGGTAAGTTTGAGATATCTCTAAATAACCTTCAGGTGGAAGGAGGTTTCATCTATTACGTTGTAACCTCATAATGCAAAGGCACCTTGTAGTACTTAATAATATGTGGAGTAAACTAATTGCAAATTATCACTAACCCATTTGAAGTCGAAGAAATTGCTGTGGAGCCGTCGCCAAAATACATGACCACCATTGCCTTATTACCCGGGCCTATTCTAAAATTGAAGGACCTACGGCCATTGTGGCCGTCGTCATCGCTAATAATACTGTGCCTCTTGAAGGCTGCTAACTTGACCCAAACACCAAAGGTATAATTTTTATCGTAAAATACAAATCTTGGAACTAAGACAAAGTCATTGACTCCATCCAAGTACAAAGCTTTTCCTTGGTCAGTGTTCTCGTATTTGGCTCCATTTATTGGACTAAAAACATACAAATGAAAAGTGTATTGTAAAAAAGCCATGACCATTGTCTTGAATTGCCCATTTCACTAACCGGGGACGTCCAATGTTTCCAAATATTTTAAACAAAGGGAAACGAAGAAAGAAGAGAACAACTATCTCATCTTAATTCTATCCGCAACAAGCCATTTGTAATTTGACAATACGTACWTAACTTATAATTCTTATAGATTCTTTACACAGAATATCTGCCAATACAGTAAAAAGYCGCGTATAAGAACAAGTGGATTAAGAACACCCAGGCCTGATTTTAGGAAATAAAGTACCATTTATATAAGAACACATTCAGCCTGAAAATGAAAGTTGTTCTTATAGGGAAAATATCAAAGATCAACACTACCTTTCATTGCAAACACAAATTATAGTTCCACCCCAATTATGTGTAACAAAGCATTAAACAAAAAAATACAAAAATATGTACTGTTATATTGATTTCATCTATTGGTAGCCTAGTAATGTTCCTTATTTTAAGAAACTTCTTTTTATTTTTAGAACACTGATTTTTCAGATTATAAACCGCCAAAATAGGTGTTCTTATACGCGGGTTTTTACTGTACTCTATTTTGCAGTTTCCAGCGACATCTGCAAAGATAACCAAGCCCTTGTATCCAAGCGAGACATGAGTTGAGCCCGCAGTGATGGATACCTTTTGTTCGCACCAAAGACAATTATTCACAGGTATCTATATCATTGCAAGCTCATCTTCTGTCTCGCTTTGTGCAAAGCCTCGACTACCTTTCAAGATGGCGCTTGGAGCTGAATGGAGTGTTTCTTATGAATATAAAATAACATACTCACGTCAAACTGGCATCTTTGCCGTCCAGAGCTAGTTTCACAAGATAGGACTCCTTGATGCCGAATTTCTCTAGCAGAAAAAGCATTGTTTTATTTTTACAAATGATTTTAATTGTCGATGTTGTTGTYACGTTGTAAGATTTCTCAGCAASTTGCTTCGCCAATAGCTCTCCAACGGCGAGARCAAACGAACGCAGAAATAATTAATAGAATAANGATGAATTGAACGTGAAGACATTATCAGACGAGGCTGAAATCAATAATAGAGCGAATAAGGTCAATTAGTGTCCATGTTATGTTAGAGCAAGAAGAAAAAGCCAAACACAGTAGCTGTTTGCTCAAATGGCTTTACTCCACTTGACTGTGTCCCAATGGCGTACGTTATTGCTAAGCAACTATGCTCATTGTTTTAAAGTGTTAATTATACACAGGTTTTATAGCACCTGTGGCCGCATTACTAAAAATATCCAGACACTCGTATAGCAGGTATAGTGTGCCCGGGTTGTAAAGCAAAATAATTGGTTGAAATCCTCCAGGAAAAAGAAAACAACAAAGCAAATAGCCCTATGTGCACCCTATCTTCCTGTTTCCCTGTCTGCAAACAGAGAACTTACCGAGTATCTCGCAGTCTTTTCCTGTGGTCCCTTGTGCGCAAACACATCGGTAATCATGGATATCTTCATAATAAATACACTGACCACCATTACGACAAGGTTTCTCTTGACGGCATTTGTCCTGGACAAAAAAAAGTTTGGTAGAATTTTGTTTATGCTATTCGACTTGCCTCTCCTCATTACCGGAGAAATGCAATTAGAGGACTGCCTTTTTGTYAATGAAAGATGGTAAAATTGCTTTTTAATTGACCGTCATTCTTTGATTTTTCTTTTGTTGCATTCATCTTTGGCTGCTTTCTTTCTTATTCAATTTTGATTTGGGCWAAGTTCCATTTTCTATTGAACTTGCCCTGTAACTTTCTTTATACATATTTCAAAAGGTAGGTAATAAAAACAGTTCATAGTAAATTACTCAGTAATCTCCGATTGCCATTTTGTTTTCCTTAAAAGTAATTTTCCTGCTGTTTTTTTGGCGAACTGTTTAGACTGTCTGTTTAGACTCAGGGCTCAACTGAGTAGAACTTAATTGTGAAAATATATAGACTTTCGAAAAACGTTTATGCGATCATAAATTTGTTTGACTTCATTTACAGAAAAGCAATTAACAGTGTCAAGACCGCTGCATTCATGAAACTGAAGACGAACACATTAGTTCCTAATGGCTTTTTTAAATCCAGGATGAGAATATTTTAATTTTTRTCACTAATCAAACTTTCCCTATTAAATTTGTTTATTTYCMATTGCCCTTCACAATATGCAAGCACTATGGACAGTCGATGGGCAGCGAATGGAAGGCTTCACTRTACTGAACTTTTATATATAGATTAGAGTCCCCGAATCTTCAAATTACGCCACCAAAAAAGCGCACTGAAGCATTAATGCATTTCACTGTACATGTCTCACTGCGCGTAAAGCGGTTATGTTCGTACCTTATTCGGATACGATTTGTCTTGTTTTACGTTTGCAACCGCTGTATRCCAGCACAATTATGTACAGTTAAATTAAGTGTACCTTTTTTCTATAAAAATGTATATGATTTACCTTGCTTCATGTTTGCATCGTTTTTAAACCTGCCATACGATATACAACGGATAAAGGTTAATCACTCAATTCAGCCTACCTTTTTACTATAATGACGGAACCCATTATCTTGCTTTATACTTGTKCCATTTGTGAACCGATCAGARGAGAGAAGCTSGCAGACATGWAGACYGTTTTCAAGTGAAGTGGTCTTSAAATTAACCGAGCGACACCAATCTGTAGTGSCGCAAGAAAACACACACTCCATGAAGTCGTGCACTTGGGTTGACTTCTGTTCCATTCSTTGTGGCAGCTSYAGAAGTTTGTCRRGAAGCAAATCGTAKATGGTTTCTCGCACACGACCAGTAGARTATGTGATGTGTTGGATGTACAAGAAAAAAAAGRKAACGAAAATCCTCGCTGACAAAGTCATTTTTTTACAGGCTGATCAATATTTTCTGGCTTAAACGAGACGCTGSTTTTTCAGTTAAAATTGAGTAAAGTGGTCATAATGAAATTGAGAGGTCACATCATTAAAAGGCATTAAATAATTGATAACGTTAGTCTTAATCAAATAAATATGCCTCAATAATGATTATTACTCTACAATTGATGAGTATATTCAAAGATCTGTAGACGTATTGTGCCTATGTGTACTTTGTTTAATTGCAAATAATATCATAAATATTTTTACGATATGTTTAAAAAAAACAAGGACGGCAGCTTATGATTTCCTGTGTTTGTGGGATATATTTTGAACCAATCAGAAAGAACTTCAYAAGAGCTGCAGAATTCAAATCTTTTTAAAGATTAAAATATATATATATATATATAAAATAAAATGAAATAAAAAAACATCTATGACATCTCTGCTTCTTAAAAATACGGCGTTTTTTAATTTTTTTTTTTTTTGCACTGATTCAGACCATCTCAATTCATGAAACTCTGTAGCTCGCAWCGTGGTGCAAGTTTCGTGAGAAAAACGTTTGTGGATGA